CCCGAAGGCTCCGCTGCAGAGCCAGGCACCGGTCCCCTCCTGCGCGTCCCAACTTCACTTGCCCCATCCCCGTCCTTGGAGGGAAACCTGCCTTTTTGTCCCCCTTTCTGTCCTTCAAATGGGGTCGGGCAGAGGAGGGGGGTGGGTTTCCCAAAAGCCCCCGGCTCTTTCCCTCTCTGCTTTTCAAGGTGCGAAACTTTCTCCCCTTTCTCTTTCCAGAATGTGGAAGATCAACACTTATTAATGCATGACCAGACAGTCATTAGAAAAGGTCAGTAAGGTGGCACTGCAGTTTACTTTCCCTTGTCAATAGTTAAAGTTTAATGACGCACCGGTGAATTGACGCCTTATTATCTTTTAAAGGACAGATCCTTTCGGATCGGGAGGGCGAGGGAGTTTTTCTTACACTCTCTCCGGCGCTGGATTTTTCTAACGCCATCCGAGGGAAGGTGGTGGCGGGGACAAACCCCCGGGGACCCCCCTCCGGGGGACACTGACCGTCCCCACACGTCCCTGCTCTTGTGTGTGGCTTTAATCGAAACCAGGACCTTGGATCGAATTTAATGCTGCCCTGGAATACGTGTGTGTAAAGCGACACAGGGCTTGTTTTTGTTTTTCGTTTGGTTGGTTTGGTTTTGGGGTTTTTGTTGTTGCTAGCACTCGAAGACAGTTTGGGTGTTTTCTTTTTTCTTTCTTTTTTTTTCCCCCCTTCAACTTGTTTACGAGACTTGAGAAGGGAATGAGTTCGCTGGCATATTAGCCTGCTCGGCTTTACCTTAATCGAAATGCTTTTGTAGCTGAGGTTTTGAGGAAGGAGAAAGACGTATTGACTCAATTTACAGTCATTTAGGGCTTTTTTTTTTTTCTCCTGCTTTTGTTTTTAAACAAATTTGTGCTTTAAAAAAAAAAAAATCAATGGAAGTTTTCTCCGAAGACTTCAAACAAATACCTAACTGAGGAAAAGCAGAAGTGTTTGTCAGAGCGCTGATTGCTGCGTTTAGCTCATGGGAGAATAATTTCGCTGTCAGATGCACCACTGAAAATCTTTCCCCCTCCGGGGAGTGGGGCCGACCCTGGCTCTTTAACCCTTTCCAGTCGGTGCTGTGAGCCAGCAGCACACCACTGGGGGTTAACTGGGTGGATTCGCAGGGGGGACGGAAAAGCTGGATCTGTGGTTTGCTCCTTGCAAAGCCTTTGTTGTCCCTGTTCACCTAAAGGCTGAAGCCGTTAACGAGCAATGTTCTACTTTCAGTTCTCTTCTGGGCTGCACCCCTTCTCTCTGTTGTACTGTCTGTTACGAATTTGTTGGGATTAAATTCCAAAGGCGGTTTCTTAAATCCGCGTGTGCGAGGTGGAAGATGAACCCCAGCAGGAGGTGGGAGGGAGGCTTTTCCCTGCCCCGGCTCGGAAAGAGGTTTTGGCAGTAGCTGAAGGATGCTAATTTGGAGTCTGTACTCGTATCGGGCTTTTTATAAGCATCGATTTGCTAACTTGCAGCACGCTGCTTCAGAGAGGTGTGTTTTGTGCGTTTTTAGAAAGTATTCTTAGTCGTGTTCGGCAGCTCCTTGGAACTCGCTGTGGCACAATATAGCTGTTCAGGAATAGTTGTGGGGACCTTTTGGTCGCAGCCGAGCCCCGTGCTGCAGAGAGATGCTGGGCACGGGGTCAGTGGCGTGAGCATTTAAGGCAAAACGAAATCCCGTCTCCTGGTCTTTTTTTGTAGAAAGAAAATTCACTTGCTGCTTCTTCTTTATTTTTCCTTTTTATAAAATACCTGCTTTCCCTCCTCTTCCCGCAGGTCCCATTTCCTTAACGAAAAACAGCGCTCTGAGTCTCCCCTGCCAAAAGGATGGATTAATTGGAGTGGTCATAAACCCCAACGAAGTATTTTGCTCCGTTCCGGGGAGACTTTCCCTCCTGAGCTCCACGTCAAAATACAAAGTGACAGTAGCAGAGGTGCAGAGACGGCTCTCGCCCCCCGAGTGTCTCAATGCCTCTTTGCTAGGAGGAGTACTCCGAAGGTAGGCTGCAACTCCCCTTACAACCATCCCCATCGTGTCTATTGTTTGTAAGTTTTCTTGTGCTTGTGTGTGAGCAGCCAGATCACCCTAACGAGGAGCTAAGAAAGCCTTTTAGCAAATTTCTGATTTTTAAGCAGCTCAGCAACACTGAATCCTAATTGGCTTTGGAAATAAAACTTCTTTGCACTTCTACTGCTTCTCGAGAAGTACTATTAATGGCTCTGACAGCAATTCTCATTCTCTGTTTAAAGTTGGATTTTTGTCTCAAAAACGGCTCCTGGAGCTTTCTTATTAAGCTGTTTCCCCATGGAATACTTTTTGGATTAAATCGTGTGGTCTTGATTAATCATTACAAGGACACTTTATATGTCCTTTTTTTTTTTTGCGTACACTTAATTTGGCTTGTGATCATTCTACAACTGTTGGTTTCAATGGTGCAGTTTGAAACATTTTGATTTTGACCTCTGCTGTGTTTCATCCTGGCTGGTTTGTAGTAGAGCATTTAAAAAGTAGGTCACTTGAAAAGAGCCTGTTTTTTATCTCCCCCCCCCCCCCCCCCCCCCAGTAGAACCCTACTGAATGTCAGTAACTGGAATTTCTCATCTTTAAAAAGAAGTGTTCCCTGAAGATAAATAAGGCCATTTTTTTTCCCTCTTTAATTACAGAGCCAAATCTAAAAATGGTGGCAGATCATTAAGGGAAAAACTGGATAAAATTGGCTTGAATCTTCCCGCTGGTAGAAGGAAAGCTGCAAATGTGACACTATTGACATCTTTGGTAGAAGGTCAGTCTTGAATGTGTCTTAAAAATAAACTTTTTTTTCCCCTTGTGTACAGCTTTTATCGTCTAGGCAAAGCCTGGAAAAGGCTAGAAAGTCAAAGAACATAATAGGGAGTTTTTTGTTTATTTTAAAGACAGCATGATGGGGACATGGCAGCAGCTAACAGCTGTGTTGCCTTTGAGGGGCTCCTCTCCCCTTCTTCTCCCTTTGCTAAGCCCTTGGCCTCCGAGCCCTACCCGCACAAACCCAGCTAATACTCCTCTTCCTCACGGCTGCCTCGCAGGGATGCTGTAACTCCTACACGCCAGGATGTTCAAAATGCATGTTTGTCCAGGCTGTGTTTCTTGAGGGGGGCGAGTCGTTTTGGGTTTTGTAGGGGTGTGTGCAGGGACAGGCAGGGAAGGGAAGAGGGGTGAAACTCATCGTGTTAGTGGTTTTGGTTCCTTATTGGGGAAATTTTAAAGTCTGGGGCAGCTGACTCCAATGCCTGGCCCTACCTCAGCGGTATCCTCAGAAGCTTGTCTAATAAACAAGCATATAAAGTGAGATTTATAGCTTTTGACTTCCTGATAGGAAACTGGAGCCCCTTTAATCTGTAACATGTTATGTGGACCCTCTATCAGTTAAGCTGACTTGAAGGGTGTGTGTATATATATATATGTATGTGTGTGGTTATGTTTTGTGTTTCTGTTTAAAGCAGCTCCTGGTAGTGGTACAATTTAATAGGCATAGAAGCAGCAATTGAAAAGTGAAAAATGGTCTAACAATACCTTACTATTTCGCTTCTACATCAGCTCAAATAATACAGCAACTTGCATTTAAAACCTTGCTTTGGAAGTTGGGTTTAAAAGAGCTTACGCATGTGCACATATACACATGTACAGTGCAGGTAGCGCGCTGATCATGCCAATCCATTTTTTTTAAGCCTGATCAGGTTGCCTTAATGAAAAAAAAAAAGTGGCCTAGTTGTACACCTTGCAATTTTATTTTCTATATGAAAATGCTTATTAGAAAGTATTAGAAAATACACTAAACTGATAAACACTTTATTATATAAGTGGAATTTAGTTGCCAGGTTTTTTAAATATCCGTGGACAATTTGATCTAGACTGAATTCTAGTCTTTGCTGCACAGTTAATCTGGATAGATAGAGGTGGGAGTTTTTCTTACTAGTATAAGCGCAAGAGAATTATTTTTTGTAGCAGTCACCATGTAGGTCTTTTTTTCTTGATGCAAACTTACAAAGAAACACTGATCTATTAATTAGAAAATGGTAATGAGTGGTATAGTGGTAACATAGCAGTGTCCCTTTCTAAAACAGAAATACACTTCACAAAATCATGGCACTTTCCTTAATTTCCCTGATGTCCTTATAATAAATAGATGTTACTATATTTAATAAGCATTCCCTTTTACCCATGCCAGGTGAAGCTGTACATCTTGCTCGTGACTTTGGTTATGTATGTGAGACAGAGTTTCCTTCCAAAGCAGTGGCCGAATATTTAACTAGACCACACATGGGCCGCAATGAAATGGCAAACAGGAAGAATATGCTTCTTGCTGCAAAGTAAGTTTTGGGCTTGGGTGGTTTTTTTGCTTCTCTTTTTTAAAGATGCTTTTGTCTGACCATGAGTATCTGTGACTGCGGACAGTTTGGTACGTCTTCATGTGTAATTTTAATACCAGAGAAGCAGCGTTTGTTGTTTGGTTTTTTTTTAATTTGGTTTTGGTTTGATTTCAACTACGGCAGCAGTTATTTTAGTCTGATAAATAATATATAACAACCCTGTATGATAACTCTAAAGCAGTTTGGACCAGTTCTGTTCTTTTTCTTTTTCTGAAGTTTTTACTACCATTAAAAGTCCTATACCTGGATGGCTATATCTCTAAGAAAAAGATGTCCCTAGGTCTGACAAGGTTGAGGACCTGGAGGGCAGGTGTGCCCAGGGAATACGAACCAGTGTCGGGACTGGGAGCGGGAGATGGTTCACCCACCTCTGTGTATGTGCAGCCCGGAGGGGCATCTCCAAGGAGAGTTACTGGTGGGCACGCTGGGTGCAAGGGAAGCTCCTCTGCCATGTCCTTGTAACTGCTCTTGGCAATAGCAGTCCACAAGTTTCCCCCATGGGACACGAGCAGTCAAGAACTGTGGGTAGTCCCTTTTCACTATTACAGCTGAAGATTTTTATAGTTCAGTGAAAGCCAGCCTTTGGTAGATGTGAAAAGTCCCTGTACTTAACTAAATTCCTATTGCAAAGCTTGCTGAACAGGGGGAGGAAAGGTAAAGCAGAGGCTTTGTAACGGCTCTTCTGCAGACACTTGTAAATAAACCACATACTGAACAGGTCTCTGGTAGGGAATACCTGTGTTAAGTTACGCTTATCTTAAACCGGTGGCTGGAGTGCTCGCTGTCCCCTTCCCCCCCCCCAGCCTTCCCAGGCTGAGGTTTAACAAAGCCTTCATTTCATGATCCGTTCTGGTCGGAGATGTTTTCTGGTCTGGGGTTGGTGCAATTCCTGGCTTTTGAAGGCAGCCTCGCTCTGCAGAGGACCTGAGAAAAGCTTGCTTAAACTGCTCAGAAGAGGTGCCCTGACTTTGGGCTCAGATCAGGCATGCAAAACACACTCCTCCTGTTGCTGAATTAATACATCTTTCCCTGAAAGAGAGACCTTCTTTTACAAATATATCTCTTAGAAATAGAGTCTCTCTCTTTTTCCTATAGCTTGAACGTTATGCTTTTTACTGAGCACTACCCCTTCCGCTCTTCAGTATTATCATAATTGGTATTGTTATTAGCACTAGTAACAATCATCTTTGGGAAGGTATTTGTGATTGAGAAATTCTGATAAAGCGATGATTCTGTTAAGATTGCTCAGCTCCTGTGAAATCCCATCAAGAGGACAGATTTACAAGCAGCAAACAACATATGCTGGAGCTTTATTAACCATTCATGTTTTGCCAGGCATATGTGTTAGTGTTTGCAGGATCAGGGCCTAGGTCTCTATTAAAGAGGGCATATACATAATATACTATGCACAACTAAACTGAATCTCCTCTTCAGCTGGTTTAGTCTTTCTAAATCACCTATGTGCAGCTGTGGCAGTTCTCATAGAAACTAGCCCTAAATTCCACCCCCACCACCTTAAAATCTAGGGCAAATGATGCAGAGCCAGCCAGACACCAGAGGTGGAGAGATTATTTTGCAGAGCGTGGATGTGTTTTTGTGACATAGATATAACAGAAGGTTTATCTGAAACTGGTGCTAATAAATAGGCTTTAATTTTAGACGCTGCTGCTGCTGGAGTAATGAATTTCTGAGAACTCCAACTCCCACATGACTGCCAAATACTTGATACAGACTTTCTCTGTCATTTTTATTTATTTATTTGCTTTTGCATAAATTGCCACCGTGGTGTAAAGTGTGATCACTTTGTGTCTTGCAGGCAGATTTGTAAGGAATTCACAGACCTCCTCACTCAGGACAGAACTCCTCTTGGAAACACGAGACCTAGTCCCATCTTGGACCCTGGCATCCAGGGCTGTTTGACTCATTTTAGCCTGATCACACATGGCTTTGGGAGTGCCGCCATCTGCGCTGCCATGACATCCGTCCAGAACTACCTAAATGAAGCATTAAAAATAGCAGACAAAACATACATGAACGCTGGCGACCAGAGCCCTGCAGAAACCAACAAAACCATTGATAAAATGGATAAGCACAGGAAGTAAAAGGAGAGAAACCAGACTTTAAACCTTTAAACTCTTCCTCCTAAACACAGACTGGGATCTTCTTGCCAGGGGGAACGTAGAGATTTGGGTTCGTTTGGTTTTTTTTTTGTTGTTGGTCTTTTTTTTGTTTGTTTTTGTTTTTAAAGAAAGGAGGGGAAAAAAAGGAAAAAAAAAATCCTCTTATTCAGGATCTTCACTCCCCCTGGATCCATGAGACAAGTCTTTCTAAAAGCTGCAGTATCCCTTATCTGTGGAAGCAATTACCAGAAGATAAGTACAAGTGTATTGAAATCCTTTGCTGTAAAAGTGGTGCTATAAAGGGGTTTTGATGGAGATATACAGAGATATATTTAGATTTCTTTTCCATATCTAAGTATCTAGTGGTGACCAGCTTCATGTATAGTTTTTAAGATACAGATTTTAGATGGAAGCCTATTTGTTATCTGATACAATTTCAGGGTTTTATTCTCTCTAAATGCAACAGTAACAATAAAGCAGTATTAAACAATGGTATATAGATTTATGTACATTAAAATTTTTTATAAACACCTGAAAATAGTAAGATTATTCTGTGGGTTGTTTTTTTTTGTTTTATTTTGGCTTTTTCTTTATTTTCAGATTACCATAGGAGAGTACTAAAATCCTGCTAGACTTAAAAGTTATCTGATAGCATCTGACATGCTTATTTTTATGGAAATATTCAGTCTTTCAAAAACTGCAGTAATGTTGGCTGCAGTGAATATTATCTTGATATTTTTTTAACAAGGAATAGTTCAAAATGAAAATGCTTTTAGAAAATTCACTTTCTGTGTCTAAGGATATTGCAGCTTTATTCACATATTTATATTGTCTTGTTTTTAAATTGGGGGGTAAACTTGAAAGAATAGGCACATAACTTTTTTTTTTTTTTTTTTTTTTTTCCCTTTTAAGCCCAAAAAAATATTTCCAGGGAGGCTTTATGTGTATTAAGGGAAGCAGTGTGTTGAATGTAAATATTTATTTATGTGTAATTTAATCGGATTTGTAAATAATGGTGAACTTTTTAATACTTTTTTTTTATAAATGGGTTTCAAATTTTAATTTTGGTAAGTATTTCAAAGGTAATGGGTAAGCTAAACATATCTTTAGGTTTATGCACAGGTATGTTATACAGGGTATTTAAGACTTGGTTTTTTTAAATATCTCAATTCTTGCCACTGAAGATTAAATCTAATCTGAGGTGTATGTTCACAAAGCAATAATTTTGTGCATCATCCACCTGATAACTGACTAGACATGCAAAATGAGTGTGTGAGTTAGTGTGTATGTGAATAATGGAGGTTCTGAACTATCTTTACATATTTGTAAATGTTCCCAATATAATTCTGATGTATATGATAACCATATAATAAAAGTATTCTGGATAGAAGCATGGAATGTTTTGTTAACTGAAAACAGTTTTGTTTTCTTTCTATACTTTGGGAATGTGGGGTGAGTAGCACTAGAGGACATTATGTATTGAGTCATAATTGCAGCACTTTGTTCGGATTAACAGAACAGAAATATGAAGCTGTTTGCCAGTAAAACTAATGGTTTCAATTAAACACATTATGTATCTCCAAGAATCTCTTTTTTTCTTCCTAAGATGTCATTATCATGCTAGCTGCCTATTTAAATAGGGAGCTTAAACACAAATTGCAAGGCTTCCTCTAAATAAAAATCAATCCTACCAGCTTTGTCTTCAAGTTAATCTGACTTTATTAGTATAATCTGTCTCTAATGACAAATATTTGCAAAATTCTGGCATGTGAAATTTGATAGGTCTCCCATCTGGTTTCAGCCCAGTTTTACTGATTTGAGGAAGTTGGTAGCATTTTGCAGAAAGTCCCCAAAGTATTCTGTGCAGTAGTAGTGAGGCAGGATCCGAGGCTTTCCAGTGGCATTCAGTGTCTCGGATGCAAAATAGCCAAACAAACCTTCCCGGAGAGAATTTTTTTTTTTTTTTCGGTGCTGTCTGAAAAAGGAACAACGTGAACCTGGGCTTTAGTGTGTCCTTGGCGTTTCAACACCTGATCAATCCATCAGGCACGTGGCTAGGGCAAACATTATGAATGGTGATGTTGGACGTAACTGTGAGTAAGAATTTGCTTCACATTATGGCAGTGTGTTTCTTTCACAGATGTGGAGAAGAGGCAATAGGTACAATTTTTTAATACTTTGTTTATAAATTCTTTTTATGTTCTCATTATTTTTCCTCTAAAGGGTAAAGGCAAACTACTGAAGATGTGCAGGGAGAAGAAAGGAAAGGGAAGCTCAAAGAAATGAATGAATGTATCAGTGGTGAGCTGAGAGAAAGCTGGTTTTTGAGTTGCAGTCCAATCCCCTTCTGTCCTAAAGAGGTGTGAAATTCCAGTCTTTGCATTTTTAGACTCGTAGCATTTGAGAAATAAGCATTTTGGACCGTCTGTAGACACATGCGTAGCCAGGACACGTGGCGTCTAACAGAACTTTTAAAATACATAAACCATATACCATTCTGATAATGGTATATCCGAAATGTTTTTATTGATTATATATACACATAGAAATACGCTAGGTGTGGTAAGAACTTGTTTAGAGAATAGGATGCTAGAGTTCTGGGTTTTTCTTCTGTTGCTGCTGCTGGACTGCTTATACAGCATATATAGTAAGATCTTTTAGCTACCAGACAATGGAATCTTGCTTTTTATTAATGCACAAAACCAGGCTCTGAAATAATTGCCCCTTGGGATAGGAAATAAGGATGTTTCCATTTATTCCTGCATGCACTCAAGTAAAGCCAGTCAATTGTCTAATGTACTGACTCGGGTTCTATTTATATGTTTGGAACATTAGAAATGTTGAGTTTCCATTACCTTAATGCTTTTCCTCTACTGCATGTTTTAGATGGCACATTATTTTGAGGCTCAACTACCTTATAAGCTGTGCCAGTATATGAAACAAGAAGAATGTCTTCTGCTCCATTCACTGAAGAGAACAGTTAAACTCTGACCTGAACTTGTCTGTCATCCAAAATTGTTAATCTTAAGGAAAATGTAATAGGTTAGTAACTTCTTGGGAAATATAGAAAGCACAGAATTATCTGAACACGCAGGAAGGTATTTACTTTTTCCTGATCCTCACTATTTCATGCTTTTTACTGCTTTTATATAGGCTATTCCCTGGGCTGGCTAAAAGAAAAAGTTCTAATGTAAGACTGTTCTGAAGTTCTACTTCTTGTTTCCTTTGAAAATGGAATATTCAGGTGACTCTGTCCAGTCTTGTCCCTCACCATTCTCCCAGAAAAATAATGGTTTGGGCCTTTATATAAGGGAAAATGACTTTAAACTATTAGGATTTAAAAGTAACAGTTCTGAAGTTGAAATGGACCATTTTAAGTATTGCCTTTCTGCAAAAAAGTTATTTGATAGATACCCACAAAACGGTTGAATTCATGTCGCTCAGTATAAAACCAGCTTGTGGAAAAAGAAAATATTTCAACCATCTCTCACTTGACCAGCAGCAGCATCGGAGGACGTTGGGGTCTTCCCAGGCAGTGCTGGAGCCGCGGCAGGCAGCAATGCTCCCTCCTTCCACCTGCGGCAGCTGAGGGCATGACTTTTGCAACCCTATCACCTGACAAGCAACCTGGTTGTTACAGATTATTAATTGCAAACCTGATGATTATTCAAGACCCCGGCTCATGAAATCATCTGACTTCATGGCAGCGTTGCTTTCAGTTGATTTTTTTTTTTTTTCCTAGTGTTCACAACTTCAGGGAGAAATAATGATGCAAAACTAGTAATATACAAGAAAACAAGGAAAAAGAATTAATTTCTGTCAATTAAGAATTGATTTTGTAACTGATTTCAGTTAACTTCATTTTTGACTCCCAGTTTTTGCTTCAACCTTCACTTGTTTCACTGTTACTTATTAGTGGTTCATCTCACCCTGTCTCTTGGCTACAGCCCTACTGCTGTCTTTTCCTCTGCTCCCTCAGATTTTTGCAATATGAATAAACCCAGCAATGCATCTTGAAATGGGTCTAACTTGCTGTGATAGCCTGCTGTGCTTATTTATTGTAGCCCTTTCTTCTCTATTTTTTCTCACATGTGATGTTTACATACATCCTTGTAGTTATTTTGGCCTAATGGTGTGCAGCCTCAGTCCTGGCAGTGGGCTTCGGCTGCCTTCTAGGGCAAGTTCTGCAATAAGAGCTTCATTTTTTTTAAAGTTTTTATAAAGTTTATTTTTTTTTTTGTAAAGGAAAAAAAATAGGGTGCTGTTAAGCTTTTGTCCCAGAACTGTTACTTCACTAAAAGAACATTATGAGGTTAGGGATAAAGATGCTTTCCTCTCCAAAGTACATCATGTTTCTGTTCATTGATATTTGCAGGTTTTTGTATGGGGACCCCGGAGCCAGTTTTGCCAAGCGCTCTGGGGTCCTGTTGGGATTGTGATCCAAGGCTTGGTGGTGAGCCACAGGAAACGCATATAGAACCCTGCAAATGAGAATTTGTTCCTAAACCCTGGCCGCAGCCAGATACACCGTGTCTTTGCAAAATCTGTGCATTATTCAAACCAGTTGTGGTCTGTCATAACACTTCTATGGTGCCTGGCTATTGCTGCTGCCTATTGCCTAACATCACGTTATCCACGTAGCTGGATGGATGACCGTCTCTGTAGAAATTACACGGGACCTACACTGGAACCATATTTTTAAAAAATAGTTACATCCTGGTCTGGATCATTTGCTGCCTTCTCCGTCTTTCACTTTCACTTTCATAGGGTTATATAAATAAGCTTTCTCCCAGTTTCAGATGCTGTTTTGCATTCACTGAATGTTCTTGCATGTCTTGCGAGGATGTTCCAGCTCGTTTCCATGGGCCACTGTTGTGTAAGGGCTGGCCACAAATATTCCATTTTTCCTCTCTTTTGGCTAACAGCCCTTATTAACCGGTTCTCATGAAGGCACCGCGCACAGGCTACTACTATTCCATGAC